CCAAGTCACACTTCCCAGATTTCCATCGGGGCAGTGATCTCATCTCGCCTTCACAAGCAACCCACCAGGGACCACCCTGCCCAGTTTACAGATGAGGATACTGAGGCTGAGACTGGTCCGATGTCATCCAGCAGGCCTGAGTCTGAGCCAAGAGAGAACCCAGGACCCTTTGACACTCTGAAAATGCAGGATCCAGGGTGTGAGGAGAAGACTGGCTGTGAGGGCTGGCCTCGTCCTGTCCCCCCACTCCCAGCAGGGCCTGTCCCCTACCCCCAAACCCTCAAAGCCTATGCACACAGGAGGGTATCCTAGGATACCTGCTCCCATAGTAGCCCTCCCCACAGGCCCAGATCTGCCTCTCCTCAGCTTCTCTTGGCACTCATGACTTAACAGTAAGGAATCCAGGGGGAGGGTCCTGGAGCCTGTGTTCCCCCCAGCAACGAAAGGCCTTAGATCTGCAGATGCCCCTGCTCTCAGCATTTCCTGAACTCCAAGTACCCACCAACCCGACTGACAAGACACAGCACAGGGACTCAAAGGCCAAGGGCGGGAAGCAGCCAGCTCCAGCTACCCCCTCTTCCTCCCTCCCAGGTCTTGCTCAGTGTGCCGATGTGTTGGCTTGCCCGTCTGGGGTGTGTGTCTGGAACACTACAGTCCACATGTGGCTGCACGGGTGCTGATGGCGAGTGTGCTTGTCTTGTAGAGGCCGTGTCCGAATCTCTCAGGCAGGAGTGTGAATGTAGATCACAGAGTTGGTGTCTGTGACTCAGGGCTTTGCAGAGGGAACACGTGGGACTGGAGTTCATCCCTGCAGAGCCTCCCCTGCCGCCCCTCCAGCGGTGTAAACCCCCACAGGGAGGGCCCCATCTGCTGGAGGCTCGGTGACCTGTGTCAAATGAGCAGGCGCTCGGTCACACTCCAGAGCCTGGAGGAGGCCGCACTGCTCTGGGAAAGCCCGGGCAGCTCCAGGGCTGGGGGCAGGCTGAGCAGGGGCCCCGCTGAGGAGGGAGGCCCACGAGCCTCTGAGACTGGCGGCAGCCTGGCTGGGAGCTGCCCTTCACAGACAAGGAAAGTGAAGGAAAAAAAATAAAAATAAGAAAAGAAAGGGCTTCCCTGCTTCCTTGGGACCCGCACTGCTGCTGAATGGCACGGGCCAAACTCTGAGCTGGGCATGGGCCCTCCTCTGCCTTCTGATCTGTTGTGTGGGATATATTAGTTCCCTGGGGGGGGATACTTCTGTATGTCTCCGTGTTGTGCAGGCTTGGCCTCTTTGTGTCTGAGCACTGGGGGAGAGAGTGTGAGTGTGTTGGTGTGTTCACGTTTGCGAACACCAGGGTGTGCCTATTTGTGGGAACTGGCCTGCCAGGTGAGAGCTTCCATGCTTGTGACCCCGGGGCCTGCAGGTCTCCCGTATTTCTGTGTCATGAAGGAATGTCTACTCGAGCCTACTGCAGCCTGTGTGCATGTTCTGGGCGCATTTCCTTTGGGACGCGTGTCTGTTTATCATTGTGTGTCTGTTTGTATGACTATGAATTTCAGCCTAATAGGATGACTCCATGTGTCCCTACTGTGCATCTGGATGTTTGTCCCTAGGCTAAACTGCATGTCTGTATCTGTGTGTTGTGTGTGTGAATGCACATCCATCTGCATGCCTAAACCATTCGGCGTCTGCGTGGGTCAGGTGGGCATCTGAATGCCATGCCCCAATTTCTCCCCGCTGGCTCTCTGAGGGTGGGGCTCCCGGAGAGAGGGGCTGTTGAACTGCAGGCATCCCTGCCAATGGGCATGTCACAGCCCCCGGGGGTCCTACCCAGAACCTCCAGGAGCAGAAGCAAGAAGGATGTCAGGACCTCTGGGGGGAGCCTAACTCTCAAATACAAGAAAATGTTGACTCCAGACTAAATCCATGCATTGTAGAGTCTAAACTTCTAAGAAAGGAATGTTACCCTTCCCTAGTCCACACTGCCAGCCCCGAGGCAGTATCTAACACTAGAGCTGTCCTGAGAAGCAGGTATTTGTGGTCCTATTTTAAAATGACAAAACTGAAGCTACAACCAGCAAAAGAGCCAGCCAAAGTCACAGGGCTGCCGGCGGCGGTGGGGGGAGTGGGGGGGGGAGACTGGGAAGGAGCCTTGCTGGCTGACCAGCTGGTAACCTCGGAGTCTGGCTCTGCTGCAGACACCTCTCAATTCAGCCAGCACACACCTGGGAACCCGGCTTCAGAAGCCCCAGCTGGCCCTGGCCTGCCCCCGGAGAGCTACCAGAGATGGGGCTGTGGGTTCTCTCTGCTGAGACAGCCAAAGCCACTGCCCCACCGGCCCCCACCCCCACCCCACAGCAATGGGAGCAAGCGTGATGAAGAGTGGGACCTTCATAGGTTCTGCTGCCTCGGACAAGCTCAGTTTCTTCATCTCCGCCCTGGGGATAATACTGTCAGGGCCCTTCTACAGAGCTGAGGTGCAGGTAAAATATGAATGAATGCAAAAGCACTCGATAAAGCATCGTGCTCATGGATCACTGTTCTTCAAATCTCAGTGGCAATTCAAAGGCTGGACATCGTAACACCTGACCGCTGTCCAGACACTTCCCTTCCTCCAACGGGAACTGAGAGATTCATAGAATCAGACCATCACAGCTACAAGGGACTGAGAGGTCAGCTCCTCCAAACCTTCACAACCTCACTCGACGGATAACGAAACTGAGATTTGTTTAGAAAGGGGGAGTGACATGCCTGTTCACCGGGCACTCACAATAGAAACAACCAGAGTAAAAGCCCTTCCTGAGAGCTTTCACCCCCCCATTATCTCAGATCACCCACTGACTCCCCTCAGTGAGGCAGGTGGGCTGCCTACAGTAATGTTAGTCCCAATTTACAGGGAGGAAAACCAAGAGCTGCAGAGACTAGACCAGAGTTATTCTTGCCCAGAAAGATGGTAGCAGGTCCAGGTAGGAAGCCCTAGCTTCAGTGTCATGCTGGCCTGGTTAGGGCTGGCGAGAGAGGAGTCTTCACTACAGAATTCCCACCTTGGCCCTACTTCCTGGGCCTGGGGAAGGGGCCAGGAAGGCAAGTGCTTTATGATCTTACTGAGAAAAGGTGACTCAAGGTGACCACATCTTGGGCCAGAGTCCAGGAAAGCCAAGCATCCCTAGCTGGGTTCAGACACAGAGCTCCATCGCAGCTCTTGTAGCAAGGGTGGTACCCAGGAACACTGCTCAGGACAGTGGCCAACGGCCACACAAGGACCGTGCCTTGTCCCACTCCATCCCTTGAGAGCTAGCCAGAGGCTGGTCTATGGGTGTTCAGGGCCTGGAGGAGCAATCTATACCCAGGATGACCCCTGTCACTGTGGACTCTACCCCAGCCACCCTGAGGACCAGTCCCACTGCAGCTGCCATCTGAGCCCCCATGACCCTTATTCATTCACTGAGGCTCTATTTACAGTCCTAACTTGCCCAGTAGGGTCTAGGTGGACCCCCAGCACAGTTCTGTGATCTGAGACCCCAGGGCCCTTACCTCCAATGGATCCACTGGAGGTAAGACCAAAGGGGGGGAAAAGAGGTGAGCTATCAGCTGGAAGACTCCCTGGGACTCAAGCCTCACTGCAGGAAAGAGGTAGAGGTTACAGTTTGCTACACTCGCTCTCCAGCCCACTGTGGGTCTTAGAAGCACAGAGTAGCTGAGCTGAGGTCCAAGTCCACTCAGGATTTTCAAGGAGTCCTCAAAGAGTTGGGGAGAAGAGGAGATCCCCGAATTGCACACCTCACCTTTCTAACAAGGCTTCCTCCATCTCAATTCCCTTTTCAGCTGCCCCCTCCCCCGCCCCCCGCAAGTCCGTTAAGCTCCAGCCCAGAGCTCCAGGCGAGGCTGGACAGCTCCCGGCCTGCACGCAGAATTTCTGGAACCGCCCTTCCCCAAGTCCATGCCACTCCTCACCGGGAGCAAGTTTCGCGTCCGGGCGTGACCCCGTCATGACCCCGGCCAGTGAGCCGGTCACGCAAAGGGAAGGAGCGAGAAGGCTGCAGCGGCGTGGGACAGATACCCGTGGGCCCAGTATGTCCACCACCCCCGTCGGCGGCGTTTTCCCCGGAGCCTCGGTCTGCACCTCGAGGTCCTCTCCCTCGGGAAGCCTGGAACGCGGCCTGGTTACGAGAGCTCCCGTCTCTCCGCAGCATCGCCCGCGCGGTACTCACCTGGTCCGCGGAGCCCAGGAGAAGGGGAACCCGCATGAGGCAGGAAGCCAGGGCCGGTCGGGCGTAGGTCGGCGGAGTTGCGACGCTGGGTCTAGAAGGAGGAGAGGGAAAACGAGACGGGCCGGGGAGGCGCGCAGAGGAGAGCTCGGTGCCGGCTGGAAGCCGCGGGAGGCGAGGCGGCCGAGAAGAGCAGCCGCGCCGGAACCGAGCCGGGACCCGCGCCGCCTCCCGCTCGCAGCCGCCGAGACCGCGGGAATCCCGGCCCGCCGGCAGCGACACTACGGAGGGAGGAGCGCGGGGCTGAGCTGCTTCTCGGAGCCCGAGCGCCTCCCGGAGCCCGCAATCCCCGCCGCCGCCTCTTGGCCGCCCGGGCAGGAGACGGGCGGGAATTCAGTTCGCGTAGAGTGTGGGACCTGCCAGGCTCCGAGTCTCCTGCACCGGGGGTAAGCGGGGCCCACGCAGCCAGGACGAGAGGGGGTGCGGTCCCAGTGCCACCCCCGCGCCACTCCCCACGTGGCGGCCGCGCCCCCGGGGCGTGAGTAGGTACGCGGACGGTAGGGGGGCCGTGAATGAAGCCCCAGCGGCCAATCAGCTCGGTCGGCGCGCGGGACCCCCGGTAGCGAGGCCCAATGGCGAGCTCTGGGCGGCCGGGCCGGGCTGCAGGCGGACGCGGGGGGCGGGGGCCGTGGCCGGGGGGCGGGAGGCGGCTCCGCGGGCAGCCAATGGGCGGCGGGTGGGGTGGGGCTCCGGAGCGGCAAGCGGGTCGGGGCTTTAAGCCGGCAGAGCGCGGCGGCGGGGCCCGCAGACGGAGCGGAGCGGCGGCGGCGGCGCGGCGCAGGGCGCGGGGCGGCATGGCCACCACCGCGCAGTACCTGCCGCGGGGCCCCGGCGGCGGAGCCGGGGGCACGGGACCGCTTATGCATCCGGACGCCGCGGCGGCAGCGGCGGCGGCGGCGGCCGCCGAGCGGCTGCACGCGGGGGCCGCGTACCGCGAAGTGCAGAAGCTGATGCACCACGAGTGGCTGGGCGCGGGCGCGGGCCACCCCGTGGGCCTAGCGCACCCCCAGTGGCTACCCACGGGAGGAGGAGGCGGCGGCGACTGGGCCGGGGGCCCGCACCTGGAACACGGCAAGGCGGGCGGCGGCGGTACCGGCCGAGCCGACGACGGCGGCGGCGGAGGAGGAGGTTTCCACGCGCGCCTGGTGCACCAGGGAGCGGCCCACGCGGGCGCTGCATGGGCGCAGGGCGGCACGGCGCACCACTTGGGCCCAGCCATGTCGCCGTCCCCAGGGGCCGGCGGGGGCCACCAGCCCCAGCCGCTCGGGCTGTACGCGCAGGCGGCCTACCCTGGGGGCGGCGGCGGCGGCCTGGCCGGGATGCTGGCGGCGGGCGGCGGCGGTGCGGGGCCCGGCCTGCACCACGCGCTGCACGAGGACGGCCACGAGGCGCAGCTGGAGCCGTCGCCTCCGCCGCACCTGGGCGCCCACGGACACGCACACGGACATGCACACGCGGGCGGCCTGCACGCGGCGGCGGCGCACCTGCACCCAGGCGCGGGCGGCGGTGGCTCGTCGGTGGGCGAGCACTCGGACGAGGACGCGCCCAGCTCGGACGACCTGGAGCAGTTCGCCAAGCAGTTCAAGCAGCGGCGCATCAAGCTGGGCTTCACGCAGGCCGACGTGGGGCTGGCGCTGGGCACGCTGTACGGTAACGTGTTCTCCCAGACCACCATCTGCCGCTTCGAGGCCCTGCAGCTGAGCTTCAAGAACATGTGCAAGCTCAAGCCGCTGCTCAACAAGTGGCTGGAGGAGACCGACTCGTCCAGCGGCAGCCCCACCAACCTGGACAAGATCGCGGCGCAGGGCCGCAAGCGAAAGAAGCGCACGTCCATCGAGGTGGGGGTCAAAGGCGCGCTCGAGAGCCACTTTCTCAAGTGCCCCAAGCCCTCGGCGCACGAGATCACCGGCCTGGCCGACAGTCTGCAGCTGGAGAAGGAGGTGGTGCGCGTCTGGTTCTGCAACCGGCGGCAGAAGGAGAAGCGCATGACCCCGGCGGCGGGCGCCGGCCACCCGCCCATGGACGACGTTTACGCACCGGGCGAGCTGGGGCCGGGCGGGGGCGGTGCGTCGCCGCCCTCGGCGCCCCCGCCACCCCCGCCGGCCGCGCTGCACCACCACCACCACCACACACTGCCCGGCTCGGTGCAGTGACCCCGCGGGCCGGGCCCCCGCCGGCGCGCGGCGAAGCGCCGCGCGGCCTGAACTCTTTTTGTTCGGTTGCTTTGGATTTTACAAAAAGCCCAGAAACTTTCGAACAAAACCAAACACCCGGACGACCCTCTCTGGCGAGCGGCTGCGTCGCCCGAGCCCCGGGAGAGAGGGGCGAAGATCTGGAACGCGCCAACTCACCCCGGGCATCCTGCCCGCCACCTGCTCCCTGCCCCCATCCCCTCGACGACCCCCGCCCTTGCCCCCCCGGGCTGTTCGGGGCCGGATCCCGGCAGCGGCCTCCCCACAGCGACAGGTAACGCGGTACGGGGTTAGGGATTCCCTGGCAGAGAGGACGAAGAGAGGAGGGTTCCCTGTCCCTCTCCCCGGCGCGGACTCCCGAGCCTGCGGGTCGAGGGTGGGGGACTGTCACTTAATTCGCTCCACGCCTCTTCTCTCCCACAAGGATGCGCCCCATCCCCCTTACCCTTCCTCCGGGCTTGGTTTTTTACGGTTTTTATTTATTCATGGAGCCTCCCGGTTCCTGGGGTCCTTCTAACTCCGCCCGCGCCCTTAATTTAAATCGCTGTATACTGTATTTATCGGGGCCCCGGAGGGGAGGCCGCGAGAGCCGCGTCTGTGTATAAAAGCAGGAAATAGCCAAAGCTTTAATCTAGCCTAATTTATTTTTTTTCCCTTACCTTCCCTTGCCCTACCCCCTAAAAAGCAAAACAAAAACAACAACAACAAAAAAAAACTAACAAAAAAAAATTCGAGTGTTCATTTTTCGTTTCGTTTTATCCGAGCTGCGATTCGGTTCCCGGCCACGCGGGAGGGGTCTGCGCTCCCACACACAGCCCCCGGGAAGAGGCTTCTGCCCCGCCGCAGACTGACCGCTGCACAGCTGGGCCCCGGCTCCCCGCGGGGCCCTGCCCTCCTGGCCACCGCCAAACGAAACTTGAAAAAGTTGGAGATATTTTTTAACCAGCTGTAGAAATAAGCCGTCCCCTGAGAACCTTCTGCCTGATTCCCTGCAGCTTCCGCCTGCTCCCTTTCCAGCCCCACCTGGGATGCGGGATGCTGGGGCGGCCAGGAGAGAAATTCCCCAAGTTTGGGGTGAGGTGGGAACCATGTAAATATGTGAGATATGTACACACATTTTGTGCTTGGTTTTTATTTTTGGTTTTTCCGGGCTGCCCTCCATCCCCATCCGAGAGGATTTTGTACACCGAATAATCCGAAAAAAAAATATTTTAATATGATTTCCAGATTTCTGGCCCATCTCTATTTATTTTCTGGATGTGTTTGGAGCTTCCCCCTTCTCCATTTCTTGTTCTGTTTGTTACAGTTTGGATTTAAATTTTGTTATTTTATTTTTATTATTTTTCGGAACAATGTTTTGGTGCATTCTTTGTATCTTTATTGCAAAAAAAAATAATGTAGACTGGGAAGTTCCCTTTATATTTATGTTATAGTAAATATTTTATTACTCACATAAACATGTACCCCAGGGCTGTGTCCTGTCCTTTTTACTACCAGGGTTGGGCCGGTATGCGGGTAAAGTGTTGGGATACCCTGGCTAACCTCCCCTAAAGTCCTGGCCGCACTATCTTGGAGGAAGGTGACCACCCAGACCTTCTTTCAGGCCAGTATGAGGACTGCCTGCTACTTGGGCAACAGTTGGACCCCTGCCTCAGGCGAGTGAGCATAGGGAAGATGAAGCTGCCTCGTGTCCCCTCCCATAAACAGACTATCCTGAAACCAGACCAGGGCCTCCGACACTGCAGACACCACAATGAATTTGGGACAGCCATTCCTCAGGCACAATTCAACTGCTTCTCAGCCAAGGAAGAAGCCTGCCTCACCTGGACCACCAGCCTGGCGTCTCTGTGTTCCCCACCCAAGACGCCAGGCCCCGGCTTCGGTTTCACTTTGTGCTCCATGCATGGAGTCCAGGCCAGCTCTACCCTTCCAGGACATGGGGCGGTTGGAAGCGGGGTCAAGCCACACCAGCCTGCCCCAGCTGGCTCTCCATCCACAAAAACATGGTACCCAAACCTAACCTGGATCCACTGGGAGTCCTAACAGCTTCCACAGCAGTCCTGCAGGAATTAAGTGGGCCTGGGAAGGGAGTCCTGCCTGTTTGCTTTGGCAAAGCCGGTCCCACTCCTCTGCAAACAAGCCACCTGGCCCAACTTCCCTCGTGGAGGAAAGAGGGCACAGACAACTGTGCCCCCACAAAGCCCTTCCGTCTCTCCAGGGATGGGTACCCAATGAACCCCCCCACTCAGGGAGTGATGCATATGCCTAAAGGAAGACTCGGCAGTTGTGCAGCCCTGACGGGCGGGGCGTGGGGAGACATAGTCTCAGACATCTCCCCTCCCAGGCTTTCAGCTCCAACTTCTCCCCCTCCCCAGAGTCCTGATGGCGGGGGCAGATCTGAGTTCCAAGACCTATGTCCCAGTCAAGATCCTCTTTTTCCTTTAAAGCAACTTTTAAAGATACGAATAAAATAGCTCTTCCTGCTTCCTCCCTAGATGCAGTTCCTTTCCCTTCTCAGGAGAAACCACATGAGGTTTCTCTCTTCATGGACACAAAGCCTGAAGCAGCACAACCGCTTGATGGGGGGAGAAAGTTGTGTCCCTAGTGAGTGTGTGTGTGTGTGTGTGTGTGTGTGTCCCCCTCCTTCCAGGAAGTGGCCCAAGCCCAGGGCTGGGAGAGGACTTGGCTCCAGCCGATGCATCTTGGGCACCCAGATAAGTGTTCCCAGGCCTCCAGCTTGGTGGTCCCTGGCCAGGCTGAGGCTTTGGGATGATGGTACCATGCTGAGAGTTCCCGGTGACTTTCTGGGCTCTGACCCTCAGTCTCAGGAGGAATTATCTCTGCAAGGACAAAAGCCGCCAAGATTTTCCAAGGCTCAGCCTCTCACTCACCACTGCTTTCTGTTTCCTCCCTCCTTCAGTCCAGCCTAGTGGGCGATGAGCGCTCTGATGGGCACCCGTGTCCCAGCCATCGCCCACCCTGGCGGGCCAGTGAGCCTCCCCAGGCTTACAGACGGGGCCGGGGATGTCACAGCCAGGTGACAGCGTGGCCTCCATTTCCTGCTCCACTAAGTACAGAACTTCAGATCAGTCCCACACTCCCCCACACTCTCTACTTATTTCTCCATTCCTGGATTTGTCCCAACCTCGGGGCCCTGAAATGGAAGCAAGCGAAGCTCAGAGCTCCCTGCTGCCTGCTCCGCCCTGAACCTCAGCAGGTTTGGAGGTTGGAAAGGCGACAGGGAAGACGGGGGCCTTTCACTGGCTTCTGCCTGCAGCTGACACCAATTGATTGATTGATTTCCTAATTGTCTGCTTAATCCCGTACAAGAGGGTGGATTTATTATTTAAGCAAGTCAACTCAAAAAACAGCAAAACAATGTGGCCTCCCAAGAGCCAGCAGCAGCTGAGAAGTAGAACAAAAAAGTGGGAAGAAAAAAAAAAGTGGAAACGAGGACGGAAGAAAAGCTTCCACTTTGTGAAGATTTTACTTAATGAGACAGCAGCCTGGGACGGCTACCCAGTGACCAACCCCTTGGCCACAGAAGTCCCCAGGGCTCCTTTCCCCAGTCTCCAGCCTGGGGAGGGGGATGGTAAGAACCTCAGCACATGTGACTGTGTAAGGAGAAACCAGAGGGAAAAAGAGATTTTGCCCTGCAGTCTTACTCCCTGGCTAGAGTACGGTTTAGGAAAGGTCTCTCCACCCCATATGGATGTGGAGCCACCTGCTCACTCCAAGAGCCTCCGACTCTCCTCGTTCAAGAAAGGCAGATGGCCCCGGCCTCAACCTGCAAGGGAGCCCAAGCGTTCCCCAGCAGAGTGGCCATCCTCTGATCCCATCTCTCTCCCCTTCTCACTTGAAGAAAATTATTGTCCATGATCATGTGGCCACAGATTGTGTTCGTTAAGAGAGTGTCACTCTCCCCATGGGAACCTCTGTGTGTTGGTGTGTGAAGTTGTGTGTGTACCACTGTGCCTGCAAATCCAGAGCCACTCCCAGAGATCGGAAAAGGAAGGCCATGCTACACCAAGAATGCTTTGAGCCGGGAGAACACTGGCAGTGTGGGGGCTGGCTAGAACCAGAAGAAGGAAGGTGGCCATTGTGGTCACCTGTGCCCCCCAAGGCAAACACAGAAGGGACCTGGCCCTAAACCCCAAAGACGTCTGTATTCTCCCCCACCTCCTGGCCCAGGAGGTTGTGCTAGCTTGAATGTGGCATGGCTCAGGTCCTGTGCAATCATCCCTTGGCCCCAGGACCCGCCTGGGTATCCACAGGACTAGCTGACTCCCAACCTCAGCTAGCCACACCTAGAGCTGTTTGGAATCGAGTCTCCTCTGGAGAGGCTCTGGGCCTGCGTGTGGGAGGGTCAAGAGCCCAGTGATGACCCGGGTCCCAGCTTTCCCCAGCAGGGCTTGAGCTCCAGAAAGCTCTAGATACAAGACCCACCTGAGCAGGGGTAGGAGTGAGAGTCGGTTGGTTATCTGGCCCAGCGGCTCCCCCTAAGCTTAGCGAACAGGAGTCACCCGGGGCCTCCAGCTTAGTGACTGAAGCGAGAGGAGCCAGCAGTCTTGTCCCGGCCTGGCATATTTGAAGGCACTGGAGCCAGTGTTTGGCCGGCCCTTTGGGACTCCATGTGAGAGGACTGCCCTCTATTGGTCCCTGAGCCGGGACGTGGCCAACCTCACAGCTGAGCATCCCCCCGAAGTTCGGCTTCAAGTTGGCTACTCTATGGGGGGTGCCAGGTAGAGCAGAGGCAACTGTCGCCTCCAAGAAAGCAAGCCTGTGTCACACACACACACACACAGGCTTGCCTACACCCTTCCTTCACCCACCACCCCACTCATTCCCCCAGCCATTCTCAGGAATTGTCATCACACCACCTCCTGTCTCTCTTCCACTCGCACCCATCCCCAGCCCTCCTCCCCTCAGCCAACTAAAACCCCGAGCATGCCCTTGCCAGTGTGCCCCCTCGCATACATGCTCACACACTCGCGGTCACACCCATACCACCGTGATGCTGCCCAGTACCAGCCCTGTGGTCTCTGGCACCGAGCTCTCCAGAGCTACCTGGCGCTTGTAAACATTTGATTTAACACACATAACCATGCTCTGCAGCATTGGACCAGGGCCCTTTCTCTCAGAATTTGCAAGCACTTACCCCACAAACTGCTTTCCAATCCCTGCCCATCATTGTTCCCGGCTCCTCCCAGATCTCTCCTGCTCCCTTCAGATAATTAAAGTTAGGCTGTGTGTTTGTATGTATGTGTGATCTTATTTTTTAAACACACACCCCCACACGTACATATGCGTGTATATATACAAACACACACAGCAATTAGATCCATCCATTCCTGCCGTCGTCGCTCTTGTGCAGTAAAACCTCAGCTATGCACATGTCCCCACATCACCACGCGATGAACCATCACCTAGTCATGGGCTCCTGATGTCACGCACACACACACACACATACACACACTTTTTCACACAGTTACACCCACACAGTTACACCCACCCCCAGCTCCCTGGTGTTTCTCCAGGGGCAGGACCCACCTCCCACCCACCTCCAGGGCATCTGAATGGGCTCCCTTCAGATGAGCTAAGTACCAGGAGGGCTCTGCTTCCACGCCCCCCACGCACACACCCAGTGGACATGTCTTTAGCTGAGCCTGACCAGGGTGGGTCTGGGTATTATTAGGCTGCAGAGACAGCACGGAGGCATATGGTCTCGTACACAAGAAATAATGTTCATGTTAAATCAGACCTCATGCATAATGCATGGTGCCTGATCTCACATTATTTTGGGTGTTCGTCAAAATCAGTGTTCTTTCTTGTGAGGGCTCCTGAAAAGAAGGGGGAAAGACGTTTGCTAATTGCACCCACAGCCTGGACCCAGGGAGCTCAGAGTGCCCCGGGAGCGCCCCTCTGGTCCCACGTCACCCACCAGCGGGTCTCGTCCCTCTGTCTCCTCTGTCCCCTCTGTCTTTCCCTGTGGAAGGAGGGGCTGACTGGGGTTTGTAGCAGGCGTGAGGCCCCGTGTTATTTTTATTTCTTTTCTCTCGGCTCTCTGTCCCTGGAGGGTTCTGGGGAATAGCAGTGGCTCCGTCGTTCTCACACCGGATTCATTTGCCGTTTTATGAACTCCCCGTTGATTCATCGCCTCCCTAAGTCAATGATTCACTCCTGATGGCTTTTCAGAAATCCTTCTTCAAAGGCTCCAGATTATTCAGCTCTGAACAGGAGCAGACCTGGACCCTGCGCGGCTACTGCTCTCCTTGCTTCGGGTGGGAAATTGTCACCGTCCTTGGCCTTTCCCTGGGGCTGGCCGCCCTGGGAGGACGGAGTGCTCCCTCCATGCGGAAGCTGCTAGAGTTGACCCCAGCAGCTTGTGGACAGACCTGGCTCTCCAGGAAGGCCCCCTCCAGCCGTTGTGGGTCACCTACCTTCTC